TCTTTCTTCTTTTCCAAGTCTCAGCACTTGATCATCATGTCCACACCATCATCATTATCTTCACCATTTGCTTCACCACTTGGAATGTGCTACCTATCTCATAATCACTTTGATAAACTAGGTTAGCACTTAGGGTTTCATCAATTCACCAAAACCAAACTAGAGCTTTCAAGGAGCTCATTGCATATGAGACATGACATTGAGTCATGCGACTAAGGTGGAGAAGATCAAGACAAGACTTGGCTTGATAGACCGGTTGCAAGTGTGAAGGGCAAGTTAAGTGATGACTTGGCGTCGATGGACCAAAGCAACGGTGAAGAGCAAGTGAAGTTAAGATCAATGAACCAATATGGTCACATGATGATATGAAGTGGATCATACCATTTGTCATTGGTTGGTGCATGTGTTGGATCAACATTAGAGGAGATGGAATGGAATGCGCAAGGCAAAGGTATATTTGTAGGGCATTTCATTTCACCGGTCATAGGTGTATAGAGAAGTTTATGACCGAGTTTAGGATAGATGGCTGTACTATCAAGAGGAGCAAACTTATTTGCATATCGGTCATCTAATGTCACTCGAGTGATCTAACTTTGCATCATTGCTAGGATTGAGTGGCATGGTGAATTGAGTGACTAATCCTTTGAAAAATGTATGTGAAAATGCTAACGCGCATACACATGGTGTTGTACACTTGGTGGTGTTGGTACATTTGCAAAGGAGAAGAAGTTGGAGTTGATTTGGATCAACTTGGAGAAGAAAAGGAGGTGCCCTAGGTGGACCGGACCCTGGCTACGGGAGGACCGGACCCTAAGTGGGTGGGTTCGGTCATCAACCCTCGCCAAGGCACAACATTGTGGTGTTCTGGAACTAGAGGACCGGACCTAGGGCTATGTTGGGTCCGGTCATTGGCAGCAATGGCGCAGGGGTTCCGGACCCATGTGCGCGGCAGAATAGGACCCTAGCCGCTGGGTCCGGTTGTGGCATTGAGGCGCGTGAAGGCAACGTGGTGCAAGGTGGTGTTCCGGACCCTCACTGTGTAGGGTCCAAAGGCTAGGAGCATACTGGGTCCCGAGGGATTTGTCCCTCTCTAGACCTCTCTGTTTTGATCTAGACTCTGGGGGTCGCTGGGTCCGGTCGTGGCAGTGAGGGTCCAGTCTAGCTGTGCTGACTGGTAGCCATTGGCACGGTGTCAGTGACTGTTGGAGATGGACATTCATGGTTGAACTCAGGAACACGTGGCGCGATCATGAGGATTGGACACTGTGAACAGTGCAGGTCTGGTCGCTTAGTGAGGGTTTGGTCTGAACCTTGAGTAGAGGGGGTTTTGAGCAACGGCTCTTTTCTCTCTTGGGCTATAAAACCAAGCACTAGCCGGCCTTGGGCTGGTTGCTAAGCACCCTCACGTTTATGTGGCTTGTGTAGGAGTGCTTGGATGCCCTCTAACTCACTTGTGCTTGCAAGAGTGCGAATCGATTATGAGTGAGTGATTCTAGTGCGATTGCATTGTGAGATTGCATCGAGTGGCACTAGATGTTCAAGTTACAAGCCGGTGGTGCTTGTTACTCTTGGAGCTTGCCACCTCCTAGATTGCTTGGTGGTAAGTTCTCCATCGTGAAGCATGCAAGAAGATTGTGCGGTGCTCTGGAGAAGGATTTATGAGGGGTACCGTGCTCACCCCGCTGGAGCCACGAAGAGCAACACTAGTAAAGCGTGTTATTAAGCTACCCTCACTTGTGGGTAGGTTCTTGCAGTGCCCAACATGTGGGTTTGGTGGGTGATGCCAATTAGCCACTGAACCACCAAGTGAGCGGTCAACACAACGGGGAATAGCATGTTGGCAAACACGTGAACCTCAGGAGAAAAATAACCGTGTCATCCTTATCTCCTCGTTGGTTTGCATTCCCCGTTACACAAGCTTGTATTTACATTTCATATATTGTGCTTGTGTAGTTGCTCTTATAATTAGTTAGCTTGTGTAGCTTGCTAGCTACCTTCTTCCTTGTGTAGCATAGAAATAGCTCCCTTGCATGACTAATTGGCTTGAGTAGCCATGTTAGTCACATTGCTTAGTTTGTGTAGGTAAGTAATTTAAGCTCTCTAATTTGGCTTGTGTAGCCTTTGTTATTGAGCATCGCTAGTGAGCTTAGGAGCTTTGTGCTTTTGCTTACTAGATTGTGTAGGAGCTCCCCCGATTGCTTGAGTACGAGTTCATAGGTTTGTGTGACCTTGCAAGTTAGAATTGTTAGGTGAGCTCTAGCTATTCCGGCACCTTGGTTGCCTAATTAGGATCTCTATAAGGTGCTTTTGAACTAAGATAGAGGGGTATAGTCTTAACTAGACCGATACTTTTAATTCTGCATTTATTTCGGTTAGCCGGAGCGATTAATTTTAGAAAGGACTATTCACCCCCTCTAGTCTGCCATCTTGACCCTATAAGTGGTATCAGAGCTTGGTCGCTTATTTGTGGTCTTCATCGACCCGAGAGGATGGCAAACTTTGGGCTAGATGTTGAGTGTGACACACACATTTTTTATGGCACACACTATGCATGATGGAAACGTCATATTTTTAGAGTTATAGGGCATCACACCCCTGTCTTTAGCATTGCAAAGACAATAGAGAATTCATTACAGCATTCAGGTGGAACACACCTTTCCAAAAGTTTCAGAAACACTCAAAAGCTCACTGAACATCAACAGGTAAAGCACTCACCACCCTTAGCGACTTATCAAAACTAGCACCCAGAACTACTCCCCTAGAGACTAAACCAGGATCTCCCCACACTCTCAGCGCTCTCCAAAGTGCCAGATAACTTCTTCTTTGCTTCTTCTAGTAGGTTTGAGCCATCCCAGACTAGTGCCTTCTAGAACATAAACTTGTCCCACTTGTCTTCTACTTGATTCAGCCACAGATCCTTGTTGGCCTCATGGCAATCTCCTTCAGCTTTAGCAGTCACCCTAAGAATTCTTGCCTCCTCTCTTGTGGGATTAAGATGATCTAGGTTTGAAGCATAGCAGCAACTTTTAATAACAGAATCCTCAAGTCCACCCAAGGGGACCCCTAAAAGCAAAGGTTATTCCTTAGTTTCCACAACCCCCACAGGGCTGCTGCACAGAAGGCATTACAGACTATTTTTTTTCTTACTAAGCCACATCTGACCAATAGATAAAAAATACATGCCTACTGCTCTATCACAAACTTCAGACATGTGAACCCACATTTGCTTAGCAACAGCACACTTAAAAAAGAGGTGTTGTACAGATTCAGGTTCTGTACAAAATAAGCATGATATATCATCCAACTTTTTCCTAATGTTTAGATTATCTCTGGTTAGATTCTTATTTTTGGATAGAAACCAAAGAAAGAACTAAACTCTAGGTGATACTTTCACATGCCACACTGCAGGGACATGCACAGGAAGAATACCCCTAAAATTTATGATCTTATACAAGGATTGTGAAGAATAAGTTCCACTAGAATTAAACTTCCACATTAGAGAATCTTCATCATCAGAAAAACTAATGGTAGAAGCTAACTGAACTATCTCCAACCACATATTCATCAGCCTTTGATCTACTCTTCTAAAAGTGAATTTCAGATTAGTACCATCCCAAAGCTCCGCAATAGTACCAGATTGTTCATTGATGAGAACATAGATCTCCCAAAACTGTATAGCTAAGTTTGAATGACCAAGCCAATTATCCTCCAAAAACAATCTTTTTGCCATTGCCAATTTCCCATCTGTAACCTACCTTAGCTGCAGATGCAGCCCACATTACCCCTTAAAGAATTGGGAAGCACCATTAGTTAGGCTATAAAAAATGTTAGGTTTTGCAGTCTTATATTTGAAATCTAAAAACTGTTTCCACATCTTATGACTATCAATATTATATCTCTTAATCCAAAAAGCTAATAGGCAAATATTCAAATCTCTCAAATTGGGGATCCCTAAGCCACCAAAATCCTTAAGCATAGAAATACTATCCGAATTGACTAAGTGTATCTTATTACTATCAGCGCTATCATTCCAAAGGCAGTTAGCTAATTGGGTATTAATAATTTTGATAGCCCACTTGGGGAACTTAATAAAAGACATGAGGTAAATGGAAACACTAGTTAAACATTCTCTAATCAACATAACTATTGCTGCATGTGAAAGTAGTTTTCCCCTCCATCCAGCCATTCTCCTAAGCAACTTATCCATTAGTGGTTGGATGTCTTCTCTTCTCAAATTATCATAGTGTAAAGGAACACCTAAGTATTTAATAGGAAAATCACATAAAGGGCAAGCAAAAAGGTGAGAAATGTTATGAGCTAACTCCTCTGACAAATTTATAGCAACTATCTCACTCTTATGAAAGTTAACTCTCATACCTGACAGCTGTTCAAACCACATTAAAATACCCTTCAAGTTAAGTAAATGATCTAACTCAACATCTGATAAAAGAATGGTATCATCTGCATATTGTAAGGAAATTATGCCACCATCCCTAAAGTAAGAGCCAAGACCTCTAATCAAGCTCTCCCTAGCACCTTTGATTAGCATTCTACTTAAGATGTCACCTACAAGATTAAAAAGCAAAGGGGAAAGGGGACCCCCCCTGCCTCAGCCCCTTCCCTGTTTTGAAAAACTTACTTTCCTCTCCATTAAGCATAACACCCATAGAACCTTTCTTAATGATGTTTTCAATCCATTTTATCCAAACCTGGCTAAAACCTCTAGACTCTAAAATCTCAAACAAGAAGTCCCAACTCACTCGATCATATGCCTTTTCATAATCCAATTTTATGACACACCCTAGCTCATTACTTTTGTGGACGCTGTGAACTAACTCATGGGCAATTACCACGCTTTCCAGAATGTAGCGACCTTGGATAAAGGCACTCTAATGAGGGAACACTAATCTATCTATTATTTTCCCAAGCCTCAAAGTCAGTTCCTTAGAGAAGATTTTAAAACTACAGTTTATTAAACTAATAGGCCTAAACTTCTTCATTCACCTAGCCCCTTCTTCTTTTGGAATCAATGTTATCATAGCAAAATTAAGACGGTGCAGATCTAATCTTCCTTGGTGAAAGTCATTGAACATGGCTAACATGTCATTTTTTATCAGATCCCAAAATCTTTGGTAAAACAAAAGGGAAACACCATCTGGCCCTGGTGCCCCTTCAGCATAACAACTAAAAACTACACTCTTAATTTCCTCCTCAGAAAAAGGTTTTGTTAAAAGGTCGTTCTCCTCACTAGTCACTAACTCCTCTGGCTTACAGAAATCATCAGCCAGCTTAACGTTTATCCTATCTTCCTTAGCAAAAAGATTCCTATAGAAGTCAATAGCTATCTCCATCATACCCTTTTGGTCTTCTACCAGACCATTGGATTCCTCTAGCACTTCAACTTTTTTCTTTCTACTTCTCTGATTTGCCACAGCATGGAAATAAGCCGTATTTCTTTCTTCTTCTAAAATGTCTCTGTCCCTTGATCTCTGTCTAGCTTTTATCTCTTCTAAAGCCCAGATTCTATCCAAATCTTTAGGTACTTGTCTAAATCTACACAACTCTTGGTCTGACAAGATCCTTCTATCCATCTCCCTCTCTAAATCATTATACTCTAAAGCTAACTCTACTTTTTCCTTATTCATCCTTGCTACTTCATTAGCTGCCCATCCCCTGGTCATTCTCCTTAATGTTCTAACCCTAAATTGCCAAACCTCTATGCTATTAGTAGTTTGGCAAGGCTGAGACCACGCTTTCTCAACCACTTTGATAAAACTATCTTTATGTAATCACCATTTTTCATAACAAAAAATCTTTTTACCATAAAAAAACATTATCTCCAGTGTCTACTAAGAGAAGATTGTGGTCACTAGGGAACCTGTCCAGACCCTTAACCCTTGCTAAAGGGAAGGTTTGTTCCCAATCTGTAGAAACAAAAACCCTATCTATTTTAGCCAAAATTGGTCGATCCTGTCTATTAGTCCAAGTAAAATTTATATTGCCAGCATGTAACTCTACTAAAGCCCACTTATGGATCCATTCATTAAAGGCATCTGCCCACCTATAATTAATTACTGAGTCGCTTTTATCCTTAACAAATCTAATCAAATTAAAGTCACCAGCTACCATAGTTGGCCCTTGCCACTTTTGCATAGTTGCATGTAATTCCTTCAGAAAATCTAACTTGCCCTCTTAATATGGAGAACCATAGACAACAACTAGCTTCCAACAGAAGTTAGTCTTAACATCTTTAATCATTATACTAATAGAGAAGTCAAGTATATCACAAACATAAGCTGAAAATTTATCTTTGTTACAACCAACTAAAATGCCTCCTGCAGAGCCTTTAACAGGTAAACAGAACCAATGAAAAGGAATGTTACTAGTCAAAGATCTAAGGTAACCAGGAGTAAAAGCCTCCTTTTTAGTCTCAATTATCCCTACAATATCAGCATGAGAACTCCTAATTCTACCTATCAAGGCAGCTTGCCTTCCAGTTTTATTTAGACCTCTAATATTCTAAAATAAACCTATCATTTATAACCTTTTTTTCTTTTCCTATTTTCTACCTTTGTCCAAGCCAACTCTTCTAGATCTTCTTCAAGATCTATATTGGCCCTAGAACTACCCCTAGGAGTCTCAGGGTCATCTCCCTATGACTTAGCCAGACACTTATCAGAAAGTTCCTTGTCTATATACTTAGTCCTATCAATTTGTTGCATACCAACTACAACTATTGGATCCACAGGTTGGGCTCCACTCTTACTACTAGAACTATTTTTAGCTTCCAGAGGAAACTCTCCTATCTTAGACTTATGACTACAAGAAACTACTTTGCAGATATCACTAAAAGTTTTCTTTCTATGACCTTCTAAGTTCAAAATTTCCTGAGCCCTACTACTATTTTGATCAGGATGGGATTTCACATCAAGACCAATCCTACTAGCAATATCAACTAGGCTACTCTTATCAAAGATGGGAACATGTTTTTTACCTGTAGGCTCTTCTAAATTGTCCTTTTTCTTTAAAGCTTGGGCCTTCTCCAAAATTGTCCCTCCTCCAGTTGGTTGCTTTTTACTCCTCTCGGGAATGATAGGCCCCCATTTCTTGTTCCTCTTTTTAACAGCAGGTATCACATCTTCTTTATCACCTTTGTCAGTATCGCTATTCAAAGTTTTTTTAGGCTCACTGATAGCAGTATTGGTCTCCACCACCACACCCTGATCAGTGTTAATCAGCTCTCCCTCTTAAGTATCTGAATCTTTCTCTTCCACAGCCTCTGCACAATTATAGAGCCATCCTTCAGGTAAGTTGACTAGCTCATCCTCCTGATGATTAGACAATCAAGTCTTCCTCAGGGTCAATCACTAATTCTTCAATCTCCATCGCTTTCAACAGATTGAGACACACAGATTCTTCAAACTGTGAGTTGAACATGCCATTCTCTCCTTAAGTAAAGATATTGATCAGGCTCTTCACAGTTTTAGTGCCTTTTGGGGTAGAGAAAGATGTCTATGAATTTGACTTAGAGTTTTCTTTGATCTCCCTATTCGCTTTCTTAGAGTTGCTCGGGTCTATCTTCCTCTTGCCTTTATCCTCATTACCCTCTTCATCATCTAAAAGATCATCTTCCTCTAAGTCATAGTCACCACCTCCATTACCATCATCTCCATCAACATTCACTTCACCATCACTCACTTGCTCTACACCTTCAGTCTTGAAGCTAATTAAGAATATTTCATCTTTCATTTCCATAATTATCTGTTGTGGGACTTTAGCTGGGTTTCTACACTTGATTCTGATTCTGACCATTGCAAAGAAGCTTCCAAATAAGGACTGCCAATCAACTTCAACCAACTTCCCCAAAGCAGAAGCAACTTGGCTCAGGTGATTCTGATTCTGACCATTACAAAGAAGCTTCCAAATAAGGACTGCCAATCAACTTCAACCAACTTCCCCAAAGTAGAAGCAACTTGGCTCAGGGTTTCCCAATCACACCACTTGGGACGGATCCCCTTGACCTGAACCCATACCTCCTCTAGCCTTCCAATAGGGATTATGTTACCATTCCAAATCTTAAGAGAACCTATAACGGTTCCATCATTTAGGTAGAAGTAGGTTCCATCGTTGATCACAAAATTGTCAACCTTCTTGTCAGGTGGGAATATGACTAAGTACTTATAGTCTTCAAGCTCTTTCAGCTGCCACACCCAGTCCTTGTCAAAGACTTTCTTCAGATGACTGATGATACCTTCTTGATCTAGCTCCCCCTCTTCAACGGTAAAAATTCCACAATTATCAAATCTTATCCACAGCTTGAACTTGTTCACCTTTTCCTCCACATCCAGATGAAAGAAACCCAGCCCCTTACTGGCACTACCCATGTATTGTGCAGCTCTGATTGGTTCTTTCCACCTTGGACAGTTCTCAGCTATGTGATCTTTCTTGAAGTAGACAAAACATACCCTGGGCTTGGTGCAAGCAGTAATGTAGTGTCCTGGATCTCCACAATTGTAGCAGATAATCTATAATGATTTGTCTTCAACACTCTTCCCCTCCTCTATTCTTTGTTGATCAAAAACCTGGTTGGACTGAGAGTTTTCACCACTCTGCTTCTTCTATTGAGTTGGGATCTACTGATGACTCATACCCTTTGTAGGTTGAGATTGGTACTGTGGCTGTTTCCCTCTATTGCCTTGATTCATCCCTCTCGGCCTACTCCCCTGCCTCTGAGGGTTGAAGAATTGCCCCTGCTGGTGGATCGGCGGCGGAGGTGGATACATCTGTTGAGGCGGGGGAAGTAACCAAATGGACCTTGCGGCGGAGGTAGCGGCGGCGGCGGCCCCATCGGATGCTAGTAGTAGGGTGACGGAGGTTCATGCCAGCCGCCGCCCTCCCAATTCTCCCATCCCTCCTTCGGGCTTCGAGGCCGAGATGGGCCTCTACCTCCTCTTCCTGGACTCGCCATAGTCGCCTTGAGCTTGCTGATGAACGACTCCTTCACCCCTCTTCCCCACACGTCTTCGGCAAAGCAGAGTTTCACCGGTTTCTTTACCCACCGATCCCCTTCTTGTGTTGGATAGCAATTTATGATCTCAAAGCTACGAGTCTCCCACAAATCTCTACGAATCCAGACCAAATCGCTCATCCTCCTTCCTTCATCTCTAACCCTAGCTTTCCCTTGGGTGGCGGCGGGATGGGGAACACCAAGGACGAACCACAACTGGCCGTAGAAATCCTGAATTGCCCCCACTTCGTCGTCTTCCTCAAGGCGCACCCTAGCGTTGGATCTGAATCCTCCCACTCCTAGGTGTCCTCTCTCTGAGGATGCGACGCGTGTCTCTCTAATCGGGCCCTTGTCATAGTCTCTCCCCCGCGTCCTTGTCCGACTGCGCAGTGGACCAGCAACCCTCGGTGGAGTTCCACACCCTTGAACTGGCGACGCCGGAGGTAGGCTCGTTGGCGGTAATGGAGGGCAACCCGCAGTCGCCGGGGCCAGCGTGAGCCGGCGTTTCTGCCTCAGCGCCTCTCATGACCGTCCCCAAAACGTCATATGCTTGATCATTTCCGTAATTTGGGTCTCAAGGCATGGTGGATCATTGTTGTTGGTTTTTCTCGTGATTCTTTGGATGAGGATAACCTAACCCAAGCACAAGAGGATTGCTTGTGTGTCCAAACATCCGATGTGACAGGTATTAAAGTTTAGGAGGGAAAACAAACACAGCCTAACATAGAAGGCCACCCTAGCTACTGTACAATCTTTTGGACCGCCCAATGAAGAAGTCAACGGTTCATATCAGTAGCTCCATTAACCCAGGCCAAGATGCAGACGAACAAGTCCTTGTGGTTTTTCTTGAGTCATGACACCTCGCAATCGCAGGTCAAGTGCAGGGCTGAAGAAGGGACCTCATATTCAAATCTTTACACGTGGGTATTTGCGCACGCAGAGGCCTCCTAGCTCCCGGCCATTGTGGGATCGCCACGTGATGATTGTTGTGTCACGCTGCACCAGCGTGTAACCGACACAATCTGTTCTACACGTGTTTACCTACGTCCATTTCTCACGATCGACGATGAGAGGCAGTTTATTTTCCATGCTCCTTGGGTCAAATACTCCTACATTGTTTAATGGCACTGCTCAAAATATCAAATATTAATTACATCACTCTATTAGCTGAAATTTTCGACTTCGTAGCACAATGTGAGGCCGAGCCAAGCGAGTTCATAGGAATTCTTTTAGATAAGCTTTATTATCATTTGTCACGCGCAAACCAGCAAGCAGGGACATGTGCTTCTGTATGGCCAACATAAGATGTAAATCAACATGCAGCAACTAGCCAGCGTACTTAGGTGCTGTTTGGTTGAAGACTCACAACGGCAATGCAGATGCAATCAAAACCAGCGCTAATAATTCCAGTGTAACAGATACCGGTTATTAATTTGTTTGGTTGACGGCGTGGGCGCGAAGGGACCGCCTGGTGAGGCGAGATGGCATAAAGGGAGCCGATACCGCTTGGAAGGGGGTGAGAGTGGCGTTCTATATGGCCGGATCGGTTCACCGCGTAATCTGTTATGGGCTACATGATCCAAACAAGAGTCAATGTTATATGTTTGCAATGTGAATCGATGATGGCTTCAAAGCGCTGAAAACAACAACCCCCTTTCTTGATGAAACGAGCTCAAGCTTTCATTTATTAATACTAGCAAATATGCACGTGCGACGTGTGTATGAAAAACTATAAGAAAAATCTTGTCAAACATGAATCCCTGAAAAGGGCAGTGCATGGTCAGTAAATGAGCATATAGGATAAACATATTTCCATAATGCAAACTGAAGTTTGTCGACCTTGTGCAATTTCAGACGCTTTTAGAGCTTACTGAATGCCATGATTCTATTTGCACAAACTATCAATGAAGCTAACGCATATTTATCTGTTAAAATCAATATTATATGGTCAGTAAACGTGCATGTTTTGATCAATAAAATGTGGCTAGTAAATTGCCTTGCAAAAACTAACAATGAAGCTACCATTTACTAAAGTCACTCTCAAAACATGGTATGATTTTATCAACTATATAAGGTGAAGAAAGAGCAGCATTGTCCTTTTGATCAATTGGTGTTTGCAGATCATCTTAGGAGAGGAGGTAGCATTGTCAAAACTCACTGATGGAAATCATAAAGAAGACATGTGATGCAGCTCATGCTCATCAACGAATGCTATACACAAAACATCGGGCATTTACATATTTACCATTATTACGGATGTCATCTTAACATGTGTCACTGACACATGAGTCACTGACATGATATTTTATATACCACTCACCTCGTAATAATGGTAAATATGTAAATATTACAGCCTTGTGAGATTATATAGATGGAGGCATAGGTTTTTTTTAGCAGCACTTACCCCTGACTTGTCGTGGTTTGTGTACAGCCTGACGGAGATGAAGAGGCACGGAAGGTCCCAGGTGACAACGGTTCAGCAAGGTCGCGAACCAACAGATTCGATACAAAACTTAGAAGGGGTCAAGCCAAACATACGACTGATCCGGGTCCCAACCAAGACTCAGGCGAGCTAATTCATGCGTACACATATTACAAGACCGTGAAACGTGAACTACATTCACCAACACGAAAGACAAGTTAATCAAACTCTCGTGATTCCTTGTATATAATTTCATATTATAATACGCTCTGTAATCCCAACGTCATTGGCATTGCTAAAGGAATTGGACTAACCAGATTCTATAAGAGAAGTGCCAGAACACGTTATTTTCTTCGAAAATCATCTTTGCCATGTACCAAAGATTTAGCAAGCAAATTATTATGTAAAGAAATTTGCCACAGATTTGACAAGCTAAATGTGAGAGATTAGCAAATTTTGGTAGCAAATCAAATAACAACCAAAATCATGACTTACCAAATCTATGACTTACATATTTTGGAAATGAACCAAGCATGATATTTTGGAAAACGAACCAAGTAAGCCCTGTATCAACACAATTTATAAAACCGATGCACTTTTATTTACGCATCAACCAATCATATTTTGATGTTAGAAAATGAATTTGATGCGACAATCTTAAATATTGCAACGTTTAAGGATCTTTTGAGCAATTTTGATGGCCAATGGTTAGTTGGTTACAGAAACAAGTTTCATATATTTCTTAAATCTTAAATTGATTCTTGCACCTGTTTCGGCTTATATGACAGGAGAAATTAAGCATCAAACTACAGGCCATTGCTATGCCCTGATCTCATGGTGGGTGTATTTTAACATTTTCCTGTAGTTGATTGATGAATTGTTCTTGGCAAGTTGGCATCATCATCATAGAGAAAAAAGAGTAAAATACATTTGGGTCCTTAAACTTTTCGTACATTCCCATCTGAATTCTTGAGCTAAAAAAAATAGAAACTATCCGGATCCCTAATCTACTACTCCCACGTACCAACAGTCCAAAACATGCCACATGAGTACCAGCATCGGACGTGGCCGTGCCACGGTGGCAGTTGGACGTTGTGTCTATGCCAACTTCTCAAAAAGACCCTTGTCGCTTTTCTTTCTCACTATTTTGGTGGGAACATATGAGGATGATGGATCAGTACGACGACTCCGACGAGTGAGCCAGCGCCGCGTGCAGCTGCTGCTCCCACGCGTCACAAGCGGCGATCTAGCTAGACGACGCTGCCACCAGAGGCGCCAATCGTCGATCGACGACGCCGAGCATGGAGGCGAGAAGGGCGTTGCGCTGCGCCGCGGCGACGGGCAGGAGTAGGAAGCCCCTGGCGCGCGGCATGGTTGTTGACGCCATCGTAGGTGGCGCGGGTCGTCGCTGTGCCACTCCATGCGCTTCTTCACGCTGCAGCCCTCCGCCGAGCACCGGTAGTAGTTCCTAGCTTCCTGCACGCACGGCGCAGCAGCGATCAGCACGTCATGCATGCATGAGCGTGACCATGGAACCCGATCCGTGACGACTAACGAGCCCCAATTCCACTTCTACGGTCGTCCACCGTTTTCTTTCCAAGCGAACGATCCGACCAGCTCGTCTCCTTTCCTTTTCGGCGTTCCCTTTCGCTTTCCGTCCGTTGCAGAGCGCGAGCGACCCACACCCTCGCCGCGCCGCTGTCTCTGCCGGTCCGCCCTTCTGCGCCTCCCTCCCCCGAATCACGTCGGCCCGTCTCCTCGCGCCGCGAAACCCTCGCCATGGCGGAGGCGCCCGACACCGCCGCCCCCACCCCGCCGCCGCCAGCGCCAGCTTCGGCGCCGGCGACTTCGTCTCCGCCTCCCAAGTCGGGGATCCCGCCGTGGTACGACCTGGACGCCAAGTGCGACGCGTGCCTCGACCTCTCCATCCGCCGCGTCGCCTACTTCTCCTGCGGCGTCGGCGGATCTTCCCGATCCGGTGCTATGGCTGCATCGATCCGGCGCGGGTTGACTGCAGGAGACGCGACGACTTCTCCAGTCAGCGGGTCCCCTTTACCCAAGGTATTCGTCTGCTTTTGGTGGCGCGCGGCGGCGGAGTACTTACGAGTGGAATCCGGCGGCGTAAGGCGGCGGTAGACCACATCGTTCGAGGATTCAGGCGTTGGCGGCGGTGACTTCGCGATCTGCGGAGCTGGTGGCGTGTGGTGACGGATTACGTTGTGTGGAATCCGGTGGCGAGCAGCGGGGATTCCGGCGTGTGGCGGCGACGACGACTGTTACCGCGGCGGCGGCGCATCCAGTGGTCTGGCGCGGCGTCTACACCCAGCTCAGGCTCTGTTTCGTTGCTGCCCCTTCAGGTCGACGGGGTGACTTCAAGTGATGGACAGTCTCGATCTCTTGTTCGGATTGACGTTTCCCAGGAGCAGCTTAAGGCTCAAGCAGATCTTGCTTCTCAGGCCATGGATCAGTGTGCCACTGATCTTGTCGTTGTGTGGGATGAGGATATTCCGTCCGAGATCCACATGAACAATGACCTGTTGCAGCAACTAGTTCAAGAGATGGATGACCAAGTGATATGCAAACAAGTCATCTTCAAGGCACCGGTGCTGTCCAAGGGTGCTGTCCATGAAGTATTCGACGGAATGTACCTTAGGAAGGAGACCTCAGTACAGCAGAAGCAAGTAGTTTCTAGGACATCAGTTGTCCTTGACGAGGATGCCTCCCAGGTGTTCGAGCAAATGCCCCTTTTGGATGACACGGCAACACAAGCTGAGGAAATCATGTTCTGGGCTGCTGGGGCATCTAGAGGAGCTACACAGGATGCCTCTAACGACATGTTTTCCAAGGATGTGGTATGGGATGAGGAGCTCTTGCATGGACATGGCCTAGACTTGCATGCTGATCTATTGCAGCCAGTAGCAGAGTTTGGTGAGAAAAGCATTTTGGTTGCTGAGCCGGCTAATGATGATATGTTCTCAAATCAACACCCACAGTCTCTTCAACTAGGCAGGGATGCTGTGTACGAGGTGTTTATTGAAACCTCTCTAGAGGAGAAGGTGGCAGTAAAAGTAAAACAGAGAGATAATGTGGTACAAGTTCTTTTTGATGAAATGCCTTGTGAGAATGTGGTGTGGGACGAGACATCAACTAACATTGGTGCAAAGGTACGGCCCATGAGCAGCAACAGCTTGAGATATACAGGATCTTTGTGAGACAATGGGATCTAGGTATCCTTAAATGGCTCAGGAATCTTTTTGAGCTGCAGTCATGGAATGGAGAGGATATGAATGAACAGGGCATGGTTCCTGTAAATGACATTTTCAATGTATTGCCTGCTGGCCACGAGTTGAATTTTGGCACTGTGACCTTGGTCATTTATGAAGGATGGCACGTAGCCATGGGTCCGCACGAATTAGAAACAATACAGTCATGGAGAATTAATGGTTTTAGTCCAGGAAGCTGTGAGCTCAACAGACAATCTATACTTGTTGCTACTAACTTGCAGTTCGCTTATACAGCTTTCAAGTTTGTCTCCTTCACTGATACTTATCAGATGGATTTTCGATACAAGAACACATGCATTTATATTGGAGAATGGGACCGTGGTATTTGGAGATATGCTTGTTGGCTAACTGAAGATATGCTACCTGAGTTCTCACATGCCAATGTGTCCACACTTGCTAGTGAGGAGACAGAAAGCATGCTTTTCCATGCTAGTGGTTTTAATCCAAGAGAGAGTGCAGCTTGTCCAATGGTCATGGCTACAATGAAGTGGTGGCATAAACATTTCATTCCATGAAAATGTAATTCAGTCTGGTACTGCTATGAGAAAATGTCACCTTGGAATATAAATATATTGCACTCTGGAGATGGCATACAGAATAGCAAATTTGGCTTTGGTCTCATTCCTCAGGTCTAAGGGAAACAAAGAATTTCAAGATAGAATAGAGCAAGCTCATATAAAATCAAGGCATCAGACTCAATTGCGCATCACTATACCGCAGTACTCCTCAATGGATGAATGCAGATGTCGGTACCATTTATTAGCGAAGAAAATTTGCTGTCAGTCACAAGATACCTTTGCTTGGGGACAAGCAAAGTTTCGAGGTGGCAGTAATGTCACACCCATGATGGAGAGCAAGAAGTCCAACGCTTTGAGAATTTGCCCTCTGTTTGTAGCTGTGGTGCTACTGTTTGTAGTTAACAGATAAGCTTCCAATTTTGCCAGGCTACACAGTTTCTCCTTGTCTTGTCTGTCCAGTCTCCTGTTGGTGAATGCCTACAATTGCATCACCTGGAAACAAGTATAGTAGTTTGATAAGAATAATAAAGAAGTCATGACTATTCTAGAATGCCTAGGGTATTGCTCATAACTTGTGTCACAATTACGAGAAGTACAAGATCTCTATATGTACCAGAATCCATACTTATAGTTCCATATAATATGTACTTCTCATGTACCAGTACATAGACAGGCCAAGTTCACTACATAATATTCTGCATAACTTGACCATTGTAACTTAGGAATGTAAGCTGTGGAGCATAACTTAGGTGGATAAGTTTTAGGGACTAAGTTATGTCCATAAGTTTTGTGAATAACTTATGCCTTGCCAAGCTATGCCATAAGTTACTTTAAAAATTATGGTCACAACTTGTTGTCACAATTACTTTTCATATTCTAGAATGCCTAGGGTAGTAGATACTATCAACTCGATTGTTATTAAATAATAAAAGTCAGAATTCAAATAACAAGCAACAAATGTACGCCGTGTTGATTGCTATTACAGTAATGCATTGTATAAGACTAATTATTGCGTAACATAGTAACACATTGTTGCACATGTACCTAGTCTATTAAAATTAGATGTTTGAGAAATGGTCTTTTGTTCTGTAAGAGACGGACAGGGTACCGAAAATTGTGAGAATTTAAAATTGGAGTCATATACATTGCACATGTAGTCACCTGGATAAACTTTTGAATCGCCTGTTGTGGTTGTACGTTTTTTCTTGGGCACAAATCATCTATTGAAGTGGAACCTTCTAATAGGTGTTGAATATTAGTCTTCATCACTTCCCTGCATGTTTGTTAAGTCTTAATTAATTCTTTTGTTTCATTTCAGGAGCCAAGAAGAAAGAAAAGACCAAATCAATTTAGAGATCAATTATTGCAGAGGAACTCATTTCTTTCATCAATGAGATGTGATTACTAAGTAGTTGAAGAAGTTTTTGTATATATGAAGCAACTCAGATCTAATTTCTAGTTTTAAACAAACTAGAAATTAGATGACTCAGTTTTGGTGATTCAAAATATGAGATCCATCCAATCTCCTACAATGCAATTTGAATCTCCACAAGAAAGTTCAATACCTTCTAAAGCATTCTTTTTCAATCATGTCTTCATTTCAAATGTTGTAGAGAAAGCTATTCATCAGTGTATTGTTTCTAATATTCCTGGTCCATATCCTATTAGAAGGTAACTTGTTCTAGTTCTTAGCCTACCAAACTATTACATTCTATTCCGTTACAAGATTATGATTTAACGTTTTCATTATTTCTTCTCCTCTCTCAGCCCTAGGATTATTAAAATATTGAAAGTCCATTGGGTAGACCACTGGCCATTTGGCTCGTCGATGCAAGTTTATGGTTCAATCTCTGCTCATGTTATTAACATTGAGCATGTTCGTTTGGAGGAATTCTGGAGGAATTTGGATGGTTTGGAGGAATGCTGTAGGAATTTGTTAGAGAAAAACATTGTTCCAAATGAAAAAAGAAGCGGATCAAGCCGGGTTTAAGGGCACGCGAACAGGGCCATTATGCGAGTCGCAGTAATGAAAGATCAATTTTGTAAACATTTTTTGGATTCTCTACCTTCGTCTAAGTGGTGCAAATATATATTTTCCAACTCTGTTTACGTGAGTTCTTTTCATTTTTATTTGACATTTGGTTCTTTTCACATAATTTATTCATAAGCATCTCTTGTTTTTTCACAGTTAGGATTAATTAATTTGTTGTACTTATTTTGCACATAACTTGTATGTATGAAGTGCTGGTATCAACTGTCCTAATATTTTTCTTACATTGAACTTGTTTTATTAAATTATATGCATGTAATTAAGTAGTGTATTGTAGTTATTATCTTGTAGTTTCTGTATTATGTTGTAAGTTTGTTGTCAAACTTTTATGTCTAACTTTGTGCACATAACCTGTAGATATTAAGTTCGTGTCAAACTTTTTATATTTAATTTTCTTCACATGTATAACTTTCTGCACATAACTTTTATGTCTAACTTTCTCCACATAAGTTTATGTCTAAATTTGTGGACATAATTTATAGCTATTAACTTTTATGTCTAACTTTTTTTGCATATAAGTTGTTTGGTTTATTATATTTTACATATAACTTGTAGTAATTAACTTATGTGTTGGACATGGTTTATTAAATTATATGCTTAAGTTTTGTTTTGCTACTTGTATGTCTAATTTTTTGTTTAAAAATGGGTACTTAATTACCCATTGTGATAGTGCTTCTCAATATGTTTTTATCTATCTTTTTATTTTTCATGTCTATGCTACCTAAGTTAGTTCATTAGGTTATTGTACTGAGTTATGTATCTAGCTTTTCTTTTTTATGTGTATGCTACCTAACTTACCTGATTAACTTACTGTACAAAGTTATGTATCTAACTTGTGTTTTCATGTGCTTGCATGCTAGCTAACTTATTTGACTAACTGTTAAGAGTAATGCATCTAACTTGTGTTTTGTATTTGTTATTTTAAATATTAAAATATTTTGCGGATCTTTCAATTGAAGAAATAGATATGCTCAATGTCTAGTTATAGAGATGTTGAGATTATCGCTGCAGAATTTATGAAAGTTATTATTTATCTGATTTTGAAAGTTTGCATCATATTATGGAATTTACTATATAGTATAGGTTGTAAAAGTTACTTTTATTTCATCCCTCATCCTTTTATAAATCCTTTTCTCATGTCCTGAATGATTAGTTTCTGAAAAGAGAAAAAAGGTTGATGAAACCTAAAAAAGAATGTGGGAGCACTCCTAAGTTATCACTGTTAAGTTATTCGTCGAAGTTATGCTGTCTAATTTAGTTATCTAAGTTATGTGCGCATGGTTCTAAAAAATAAGAAAATGTGGGAGCGTGTGAGATCCAGCACGTCGGGCCCAAAACGTGCCCGAAAAGATAATGGAATGCCTGGGTGCTCAAAAAGAGAAAGAGAACAGTATACTATCCTTAAAAAGGTGTTGGGTGGGAATGAATGCTTTTGTATTTAGGCAAAAGTTGTCTGAAATTCGTTCGTTGGGTTCATTTTCAATGAACGTTCGCCAATTTGTGGATGCGGCTCGTCAAAAGTCTATGGAGCGAATGAGCGAGGTATGCACGTCAAGCGGTTGCGCCTCCTCAAGGACGACTCCTCCAGGCAGCCGGCCACCACGCTTCGGCCGTCGCCAAGCCGACGCTCGCCGCAGCACCCACGGTCCATGAAAGCACAGGTAAGCACAGAGCATTAGAGCACTGCCCTTGCTCAAATGATAAAAGCACTAGCCGGTGAGCACATAGCATTGGTGAGCAGAGCACTAAGGGCGCGTGGCGCAGCAACTGCTACCACTACTCGAGCTATGCTAGAAAGTCTTGTCGTTGATATTTCTTAGCATCACTCTTTACTAAGTTGTCATCCCTAGTATGATGCCATAAATGCGTTGTTGGTAATTATTATGAACACTTATAAATTTATATATATACTAAGTAATGCGTAAGCGCACAGATAATATACCATTGTAGCATTTTATCTGGGAGTATACCGAGTATCGTTATTTATATTTTATCCATAGGGAGGAGCTATGGAGTTGTGTTGGCATAGAGATATTGACAAATATATATACTTATGATAAAATCACTCTCATACTATGCAGAGGTAAGTCAAGGGATAAATAAATGATAAGTGTAAGATAATAATGGTATTCTAGAGATAGAAATAGAGACGTATAAAATGTAGTATGGCTAAGCAGGAGATTCGTTAAGAGCAAAAGATTGCTAAGTCATTCCTTATTTACTAAGTCTTTTGTACAACCAAGTATATACACTCTCATCTATAGTATAACTAACTTTGGATCTATGTATAAGAAACATTACTAAGGAAAATCAGAAACAGAGCTTGTTTCCCTTTCGCAATCGCATTCTACTTGCTCTACAAACGGGGAGTGGACTATAAAGAACTCAACGGGAGTGTCACATCCGTGATCTACCACATGACCTAGAGTGTAGAAGGCATCCGCAGGCAAACAATATTTAAGCACCATGCTTACATAGTGTCGACCACTTAACTCACTCGAGTACTGAGCTAAGAGCTTTACATGCATATGCATAAATTCATCATCAATTATAACTATATTGTTGACAGAATATTGTCGGCAGTCCTCCGAGGGGTATCCCACAAAGGTAGATTGATCGGCAGAGATGCATGTAATCGAGAATAAGAAGGCAACAGAGACACAAGAGTTAGACAGGTTCGGGCCGTCAGCGCGACGTAATACCCTACTCCTGTGGTCTGTTGGATTGTATTGGCTATTGTATGATATTGCGTGTGTTTTGAAGGGGTCCCTGCCTGCCTTATATAGTCTGGAGGGTAGGGTTATAGGTCGGTTAGATCTAGGAGATAACCGAAAAGTAATAACAGATTATAGAAATCATGGGATCATACGCATCCTAACAGATCTTATAGTATCTTTAGGATATCTTTCCGGTGTCTTGCGGGACGCGCCGAGCAGCGCCGTGCTCC